TTCCTACCACGAGAAGTCCAAAGGATGACAGAACCTGCCGTGGGGAGGATTTCCCAGTTGCTCATTCAAACAGAGAAGCGAGGAGGGAGCTTTGAGTCACCACGCGAAGCCCAGCAGCGCAGGAACGCCCGCACTCAGGACGGGAGCCAAAGTCCCATTGCAAGCTGTGATTTCGTTTCAGCAAAACAGCAGCTGTTCACATGGCATTACAGTTGGAAGCCTACGTGGCTGTGTGAACATCGGGTGCTGAGCACAGAGCCTGGCATACCTAGGAGGAGCGAGCGTTCCTTAAAGGTTAGCTGTCTTCCTTGTTTACGGCTCGCTCCTGCACTAGGGACCCGACACACAGCATCTCGCTTGCTCTCTACAAACAGGCTGGAAGAGAGGAATTACCATCTCCCTTTGGCTATTGATGCAACCCAGGCTTAGCAAGATCAAGTGGGACGTGCCCGCGGGCAGAGGACGGGTCTGTGGCCAAGTCTCCAGCCGACCCGGCTGCCCAGCCTGTCCTGCGTCCCCGTCCTCCGCCTCCCCCCCAGCCCTCAGCCCCGCGGTGAGCACTCTGAGCTGCAGGCTCTGGGTACGCCCTGCAATCTGGAACTGGCCCGATCCCCCTCTGCAGAGCAACCCCCCCCCCACACCCCCAGCTCAGCGGCGTGATTGTCCTCACCTGGAGAGTTTCTGTCCTTCACGCTTGATTACGTGCTGGTTCCTTTCTTTTCCAAGTGGCCACTTGAAGGAGCGGAAATCAGGGCGTCTGCCAGGCAGCCCCGGGAGGCTCCCCTCTCCACCGGCCTGCTGGTGGGGGCCTGTCTGGGCTGCATAATTAAAAAGCCAGCTCTTTGTTCAACCAAATCCGCGGCTTCTGCCAATGTCCTGCATATCCTGCAGTGAAGAGCTGGTGCCAAGGGCTCACCTGGCACCACCCGCTGACCTCCGATTCTCGGGGGCAGGAGAAACCAGGAAGGCGGCAGATGGGGGAGCCCAGCCCCAACCCGAGATGAGGTCAAACGGATGTGTGGGCACGTGGAGGGGCAGGGGACCCAGCCAGCGGCCATGCAGGTGGGGGCAGAAGGATGACGCCAGGGAGGGGGGGGCAGCAAGGCCACTAGGGGCCGAGAACAGCCCCAAGTCCTACTTCGCCACTGGCTGGCAGAAGGAGCCCATAAAACGTAAGGCCAGTCTTAACCGGTTGGCAAACTCACACCCCCGCTGGGCAGGCGAATGTGGGAAGCAAGCCACACCTTGCAGATCAACGTAGAGGCAACAGGATTTTGCTGAGAGGCTTTTGGGGTCTTCCTGCTTGGGAGGCAGAGGCCAGTAGTGGGACCTGTATAAAACTGGGGCCTGTGTGAGCCATCAAAGAGATTTCAAACCAAAGGGAGAAATGAAAAATTGAAGCTCATCCAACAAAACATGCTGTGGGCCAAGGTCAACCAGTAGTCTGCCGGGTGGTGACTTTGGGTGCACAGTATTCTACCTCGTCGGTCAGGTGAGTAGCGAAGGACTCTACCCATCATTAACTCTCAGATTATGTATTAGAAGGGACCAGGGTTTTTGGAGGCAGACAGATCTGGATTGAAATTTTGTTCTACCTTTTACTGAGTGATTTCTGCAAGTATTGTCTCTCTGTGCTTCAGTTTTCTCATCTGCAATATGGGGCTGATAATGGAAGTGCCTTCCTCACATCACTTTGTGAAGATTAGATGAGATGCCTTATCTGCAGCTCCTGACACGTAGTAAGCCCTCCCACATGGCAGCGAGGGTTATAATTAACTGAGGGCAAGTGTCTGCAGGGCTGAGCCAACTCTCAGCAGGCCCCCAATCTAAGGGTTCATCACCATACTCTTCAATTCATAAATTTTTATTCTTTTCCATAAAACTATTATATTAAGTGGAAAACTAAATGCAATTTAATGTGTGAGCTATGATTTTCCTTTTCCAAATAAATGAATTCCCCAAAGCAAAGGGGAAAATGCCCTTGTCAGATGAAGTTGACACTGGCTCATGATGGGAATTTATGATAAATAATCAAGAAACAGAAACACCAAGGTGGAGCTGCTCCCCAAGAAAGCCCTCAGACTTCTCCACCCCATGCTCTTGGCACATGTTAGCCCAAAGAGCCCAGAAAAACGGAAGAGGCATTAACCTTTACCGAGTGGAGCTCCAACATGAAGTCAGACACTGTCTGGTCCTAATGCTATTACAGCCGGCTGCATGACCTTGGAGAAGGCATATAACCTCTGGGCCTCAGGGACCCCACCTGCAAAATGGGAATCATAGTGTGGGGGGTGCTAAGAGGAGAAAAGGTAACATATGTCAAGTGCTCAAGACTTAGTAGACACTCAGTCCATGATGGCTCTTGGGGTTTCTCTTGAACCCTGTTCAAGAGGCTTCCTGCGTGTCGCTCCTGTCGGGAAAGAACTGGCCAACCTTCTCTGAGTAAGACTTCAGCCCATCTCCCAAAGCGATCAGCTCTCACGAAAACATGGTCTGGTACCATTCCACTGCATTCCAACCACTTCCATTACTGGTCAAAACACTCCCATCTGCCCGATATACATATTTGCAAATTAATTCTACTAAAGAAGTAATATGAAATGATCTGCATTATCCAGTTATCACCAGAGGCCCTTCCATCCCAGCTCAGGAAAGGGTCTTGGTGGATAACCCATCTTCTCCAATCCGATCCAGTCCTTATTTGTCCTGTTGTAGCTTGGAAATGGAGCAGTTGCTGCAAGCACTTGACCTCAGATGGGACCCTCTGGGAAGAGATTTGCTGAAAACATCCTAACGGCAGGCAGAACGACACGCTTGCAAAGAAAGGATTCCTGCACAGTGGAGACTGGACACCCTTGGCTATTGATCACATTTGGCTCTCATGGCCTTATAGGTCTTGCTTCTGAGGGACTAGCTGGAGGAAAAACCAGGTGAGTCTGCAGCTGTGAGCCATCCCCTAGTGTGGTCTTCCTAAGGTGACACTGGTCTTCCTGGCAGTCTATAGATTCTGGCATTCTCCCAAGTGCCATCACCGTCCTCCACCCACGTGAGCTTTCCATCACCCCTGGGAGATGGGGAGATGGCTCCATTTACAGGTAAGGAAAAACAGAGGTCCACAGAGGTTTAATAACTTGTCCAAGGCCACCCAACTAGTAAGAGGCATGTCCATTGCCCACAATCATGGAATCTACGCATTTGCAGATTTGGGCTCGGTCTCTCCTTGGGCATCTCAGAATGTTCTGTTCACACTCTGAAGCCAGTAGGATTCCACAGTGGAGGGAACACTGAGTCTACACCTTGGCCCTTCTCCAAGCCAATGATCAGTACTGGCCAGCTCTGGCTCAGGTAAAATTTGTTGGAAGCTCTACGCCCTCTGTTGCTGCCAGGCTGCCTCGCAGGGCTGGGATGTGGTGGGCAGTGGCGGAGAGCACGGTCATTGGTGTCAGACAGCCTGTGGTCAAGTTCCAACTCCGCCTCTTACTAGCCGTGTGACCCTGGGCAAGTAGCTTTCCTTCCCTACGCTTTAACATGCAAAAAAAAGAATAGGAAGTCATAACTTTTATTGAGTGCTTACCATGCGCCAGGCATTGCTCTCTTTCCTTGCATTCTTTTCTCATCTCAACAACCCTATGAAGTAGAATGTGTCATTGTCCCCATTGTACCGATGAGGAAATATTAGTAACGAAATTTCAAATTTCTGACTTGCTGGGGGGTGGGGGAGGGTGGCTGACCCAAGGCTAGAAGAAGATGACAACGCTGGGGGATAGGCCTGAGGACAGTGTAGCCAGAAAAGAAGTTTACTGGTCTTGATAAACCAGGGAAGTGGCAGGGTCCCAGCAGGGACAGTATTTAGGTCAGCTTGCCAGGACAGCGGGTCACAGTTCTCAGGGGCAAGGAGGGAGACCTGCCTGGGTGGGGCCAAGACCCCAGATTGTAACTGGGGTAAAGAAAACATCCTGGACAGTAGGAAGATTTAGATGGGGGTGCAGTCAAGAGGGCTGAGTTGAGGGCCCCTCCCCAGCCCTTGTGGGGGGGTGCAAATATAAAGAGAAACTGAGGCAGCAGTCTATTGAAAGAACGGGGGTTGGAGAAGAGCCTGTGGAGGACTCTGGACCTTGTCTACTGATAGGAACAGGGCTGCCTGCAGTGGGGTGGACTCAGGACAAGCCAAGAGCCAGGCTGTAGCTAAGCCTTCATGGGGGCGTCAGTCAAACCCCCCACATGGGAAGGAGCCAAGGCCAACTCCGCGGGCCTATTTCCATTACCCGCTCCAGGAATCGCTGCTCAAAAAGAAAATGTCACAGTTCAGCCCTTGCTGAGCCCACTGGGGAGCTCAAGAAAGACCTGTTGCTTAATCAAATCCATTCCGTTCAAGAGACATTAACTACACTGACAGTACGGGCCAGACCCTGGGGATACAGAGACAGGACACACCCTCTAAGCTGTCACAGTCTACAAGTGAGATAAATACATGCACAACTTTCTACAGAAGTCAGAACGGTGACGGAGGCATAACCAAGCACAACGGGGAGCATTCTCGCTGAGCGGGGAGGCCTCTTGGAAGAGCAACTTTGTAAAATGGGAAGAATGATCATTTCTACATTCTTAATCTAGGGACCGCCTGGTTCCCTGCAAGTCCTCATACGGATGAAGCTCTGCCATATTGTCTTTCTAGAACTCCCATGAAACACTTCAACATTTGAGGACTTGTTTCCCCCTGAGAAGCATGAAGGCCTCAGACTTCCCAGCAGAAAAGAGAGACCTCTTAATAATAACCAACACTTAAAAAAAATAAATACATAAATAACATTGCCTCATGTCCTCAAGGTCCTTCCTGGAGAACAGACCTCAAATAAATTGTGTCTCTCTCTTACCAGATGACCTGAAAGAAAGCCTTTTCCTCTCAATAGCTGTACTCTAGTTTTAAGGGAACTTAGAAGTTTTAAAAGTTTACAAGCAATGTATAAACTGATTTTTAAAAAACCCCAGGCTCACAAAGATAATAAAAAAAAATGCATTTAATAGCATGTCAATATACAGCTTAAATGTATAGTAAGTCTTCTTGTAGTCAGTGCATTACAGGGATAGAGAAGAGAAATATCATTTGTGAATGCACAGTCAAATGCTAAGTAGAAGTGCTGATAAATCTTGGTGCTCTTACACTAGTAAAATCCCGTTTTATGAAACATAACTCCAGGTGCAGTGCTCTGTGCCAGTGTGGAGGGTCATCGGGTCCAGTATGCAATCTACAGTTTTAAATTGAATTGTATACAAGGATTAACAAAAGAATAAAATTTATTATTCACAAAACTAAAGTGGTTCTCATAAAGCTTACAAGAAAGTACAGCCTAGAACTAATAAGTTGAAAAATTAGTTTTAAAAATAATAAAACTTACTGGACAGTTTTGGAAAATGATACTATAAAACAAAGAAAAACAATTGGCACAGTTTAACCACCTAATTTCTAAGTGCACTTTGTAATGGTCCTTGCAAGCTGCCACTTTTCCCAGGATAATGACAAAAAGCTTCAGTCAAGTGTCACTGGCTTATGGTGACGGGTTTTTTTTTTTTATTGCATTGCCAAGAGTGGATTTTAAGAAAAAACACTACAAAGGTTTCAAAAACCCTATTTATTCTCTATCATCAAAAATAGCAACAGGGGGACTTATACAACTTTTCTGTGAGTACCCACCAGTCTATTGTTTTGTTTTTTTTTTCTTAAAAAAAATAGAAGTTAGTTAAAGAAAAATGATTTGGTTTTTTAAAAAATAATGTAAGGAAACACTTAATCAGATAGCCCAAGGAGTCATCAGAAAGATGTGTAGCAAGAAAGCTTCATTTTTTGGCCCTCTCCGGCCTTTGCACGTCTTTTTTTTACTAAACTAGAAAGAGAATGTACAGTACCAATATGTTCCCCAACCTGCTTGGATCAAATTGTTTTGTTTTGAAACCCATTATTGCTAAACCAGAGTGTTGACACTGAGAGCCGAGGGGGCCGCTCATAGAGGGTAAAATTGCGAGGCCGCATCTGAGGACTGGATCTCCACCTGGGCCATTTTGAACTGCGTACACTGCAGCCACTTGCGGAGGGCCACGAGGCCGGCGCTGCTCGGGGCTGAGCCGGGCAGCGTCCTTAGGCTGTGGTGGTTCACGTTGTTCTGAATGGCCTGGAGGCGAAGCTGGAGTCCGGCCGATAAGTGCTGTTGAGGAAGGGAGAGACAGCGAGTTTAATTTCTTTCCTTCCAGTGTCTGCCGTCCACCCAAGGGAGCGCCAGCCCGGGCCTCTCCTGCAGGAGGACTCTCCTACGCGGCTCAAGGGCCATCGGGCCTGAACAGGGAGGCCAGCTCTCACGTTTGGTGGTGGGCAGGGTGGGGGACGCGGGCCAGTGACCGGGATTCTAAAGTCACTCTGGTCCAGATCCATGCAAGTAACGCCGTTCCCATCCCGACTCATTCGCTGCAAGGGGAACGTAAAGATGACACGCTGGGGAGGGGCGGACACACATACGTGTTCCCCAGGAGCCGGTCACCGCATGGGCCTGGGGCCTGCACTCCGCTGCCAGCTCCCTGGGTCCAGATCCTAGCTCCTCTGGGGACAACTCCGGGAACAAGGTTTTTCTGTCTGTGTTTGGATTTTCTCGTGGGCGAACTGGGCATAGTTAACACCTCATGGGGTTTTCTTTTAAGGGTGAGTTAATGGAGGGTTTGGACCAGAAGTTGGCACATAATAGTTGCTCGTTACATTTTAATCGTGATTAGAGTCTCTCTGTTCTCATGGTAATGCACGTGAAGAGGCTAGGTTGTAAGCCTTCTGTTGGCCTCAGATTTCCAGATTTCCGGAAAGCAGGGGGAGGGGCAATCTGGAACAAGCAGCTGTTTTCACAGGAGAAATATGAGAGAAGGTTTTCAGCAGCGGCGCCCCCACACGTGGCCACAAATGTCACCGACACCACGGCCCCGGACTCAAAGCCTGAAAGTCACCGTTGACGGCTCCATTTCTCTCTTGGTGTCTGGGGACCTTGAGGTCAGTTCCCTTCTATCCACTAACATCCCTCCCGACTCTGAGAAGAAAATCAGCAAGAAGGTGTCCACCTTCTCCCCCCCTGCCCTGTGCTCCCAGGGCCGTAGACAGAGCCCAGTTCTGGGTAGAGCAGGTGGCTAGCTCTGCCGTCCTGACGTCAAGCCCCAGGAATCTTGACTAGTCATGGAGTATGTCTGGCTCAACAATGACGATGTGTCCCTCAGGGTGGGGCCTGGCGATGGGAAAGACACACGGATAGGGTCTTTCCCTTCCCGGCTGCGGGGCCCCGGCCAAGTGACTCTTCTTTCTGGTCCCATGTTTCCTCATAGGTAGAACAGGAGGCAAGCCCCTTCCTTTCTGGCTGTTCTGTCATAAATTCAATGTTAGTCTTTCTTAATAGAATTCTTCCTGTCACAAAAAGTCCATTTTGTTGTTCTTTAAAGTTTATTTATTTTATTTATTTGAAGTCATCTCTACCCCCAGGGTGGGGCTTGAACTCACAACCTTGAGATCGAGTCACATAATCTATTGACCGAGCCAGGCAGGAGCCCCACAGAAAGTCTCTTTTAGTGGCCAGGAAAGAGCACTGAACGTGCCTGGGCTCGGATGCCATGGGTGTCCTGAGAAGGTGGGGCAGGCCTGTGTTCTAGTCGGGACCGAGCCTCGCTCCGACTCGGATCTCCCCTCCACTCACATCCTCATCCATCACGAACAGTACGACCGTGGCTCTTGCCGTCACCCCAGACTGCAGGCCCCATCCCTGGCCCACAGCGTCTCCCCCTGTGTCAGCCCCATGAAGCCAGGAGCAGGGTGAAGTCACCTTTCTCCACAGCAAGTGGCGCGCCAGGAGGCCCTGTTAATGTTAGGACCTTCTCTGGAGGGGACTGAGCTTCCAGTCCACCCAGCGATGACTTACCTTGATGTTTGACTGAATCATTGGCAACCACATGGGTATCAGCTGTATGGAGAAATACAGAAGTCGTGTTACTCACGTTCTCCATCCCCGCCCCCGTAAGCTTCGGCTACCGCTCGGGAAGGCCGGGCACACAGAACCCCTGTAACATCACTAAAGGGATGGGACCCTGCCGCGGAGTTATCCATTATCGGAAAAACATCTTCCTGAGGCCAACCCCTGCTGAGCTGGTGGCATTGGGAGGTTAATGAGTGCCCGGAACACACACTCTAGACTAAATGACTGATTGTCTCTTGAAAGCTACCACACACGGGAAATGAAATGTGTATTTATTTAATTAAATCCTCCCTTTCTTGAAATAGAATTTCCTCCACGGGGATCTCTAAAATTGAGTCCCCCGAGTAAGATGGCGACTCTATTTGCCCGTAGTTGTTAAGAAAATCTCGCCGGGAAGTGGCTGAAATGCTTCAGTGATAGAAAAAGGCACGCCCCGAGGTCGCCTGGCTGTGATCTGGAAGGTGGGGCACAGCAAGAAGGGCTTGGGCCAGAGGTCTGAGCAGCGCGCAGGCGAGCAGAGGGTCCCCGGCAGAGAGCAAGGCACTCAAACTGCAGGCATGTGGGGGCCTCGCCCTTCTGCTGCCCCTCTGGCCCACCTGAACCCCTCTGCTGTGCCCTTCCTCAAGGTCACGGGGTGTCCGGCCCAAGGGACAGACAGCTCTCCTCTCCTGCTCTGGTCTCTCAGCCATGGTTCAGCCTTCTGGACCATAAGGCGTCATAAATCCAAAAGTCCAGGACAGAATAGTGTTTCCCAGAGTGTGTCCCACAGCTCTCCAGTTTGGTGGTTTAAATAGGGGAAGGGGGCGCTGGTCCAGTAAGTTCGGAAACACTAGGTTCCTTATTACAGCACTGCTCAGATCTTTAACACACGAATATGCATCATATCTCTTTGCTCTGTGTTCCTTCCAACCCTCTACTCCTATTCAACAGAGGAGTACAGTTGTCATGGGCTCAACTGTGCCCCCTCAAAATAGACACTGTAGTCCCTACCCACACTGCTTCAGAATGTGACCTTATTTGGAAGAGGGATCGATGCAGATGTAATGAGCTAAGATGAGGTCATTCTACAGTAGGGTAGGCCCCTCATCCAAGATGACTGATGCTCTTAGAAAAAGCAGATAATGTGGACACAGGCCCACCCACAGGGAGAGCCCCATGCAAAGACGAAGGCAGAGGTCTACAAGCTAGAGAACGCCAAAGATTGCCAACCAACCCCCCGAAGCGAGGGGGGGAGGATAGAACAGATTCTCCCTCACAGCCCTCAGAAGCAACAACTCTGCCGACCCCTTAACCTTGGACTTCTGGCTTCTAGAACTGTGGGATGAGAAGTTTCTGTGTTTCAGCCGCCTGGGCCGTGGTACTGTCCCAGCAGCCCCAGCCAAGAATACAAGGGCACACTCCAGGAAGCAAAGCCCACAGGTGGCGGTGTGTGGAAGGGGGTGGAGGTGGGAGGGATTCAGGTGATGCTGAAGTGTGAGGTTCTCAGGAGAGGGTCACAAGAAACAAGTTTAGAAAAGCAGAGGGGAGGCCCCTCACCATCCACCCATAATGACCTGGGATTGTTTCCAAATCCAAGGTAACTTCTGAAGAGGGGAGCCCCGTTCACTGCGAGCAGAACTGGGCTCCAAAAAGATCATCCCAGCAGCAATCTGCAGACCAGGGTGAGGAAGGGCGTGGAGAATGGAGGTCAGGGGTCTTGGGGACGCTGCCCTGATGGCCCAGGTAGGACCAGGGGGTCTTCGGAGAGGGCAAAGGGTAGTGCCTGCAGACACAAGCTGAGAGGGTCCGAGGACCGGTCTGCTCTTTGGAGCGAGGAAAAGGTCAGAGCAGAAGCTGAGGTTTCCATGCTGGGCAAACCAGAGGAGGTGGGCCATGAAGAAAATGAAAGAACTAGTGGGAGGCCTGCTGGGATGGGGGACGGTGTACTGATGATCTCTCTGTTCACTAGTCATGGCCACAGGCTGTCGGGCTCATTTAACTCATCAACACACATACACACACACACACACACATGCACGCATGCACGCACATGCACACACAACTTGGTGAAGTGAGAAATTACATTCCTCTCTCTGCTTTTGTTCCCAAGACTCAATCTGGCTGCTGTTTTGCTTTGAGCATTCTGTTGAGATACACAACTTGCTAATTTGACTTCCACTGATGCTCATTCCTAAACACAGTGCTCATCTTGGAGCCAAGCAATACTTTATCTCTAGCATGAATACCGTGTTTGGAATAGCGCATGGTGTAACTGGACTAAAACTCAAAATAGCAGAAAATATAAAAAAAAATTTTTTTTAAATCAGAAAATGACATTTTTCTCCCTGCTTCCTCCAACCACCAACCCTTACAACAAACTGTGGGATTACAAAGGTCAGTGAAAGATAAGGCTACACTCTCTGGCCATTAGCAGGACTGGCTCATGTAAACATTCTGATTGGGAAAAAATAAACTAGTCTAACCACTTCCTCTCCAATGTCTATACAGCAAAAAAAAAAAAAACAACTCTAAGGGTCCTAATGTCTACAAACTTTTGTTGACTTTTGACCTATTGAATAAGGAGCAGGCCCCTATGCCTCTTGGTATTTAGGAAAGACCCAAACTAACCTCCTGTTAAGATCCTGAGGGACCAAGCAGGTTAAGAGCCAGGAAGCGCTGAGTACTCTGACCCTGGGTGGACACATTTCCCAGAACTATTCTTGGGGCTAAAGGCCTGTTTGAGGCAATCAAGCGGAATAGTGACATTCGTTTTAGAAGGGTTTTTGCTATTAGCCCATTTATGAAACATGTGACCATATCATTCTAATATATATCTGTAAAGGACCTTCAGGTTTGTGACTTATGAATCCATGACTGAAGTCTTCAAGTTAAATCTCATAATTATTGATAGCATTATATAATCCAACAGTCATCCTATTTCAGGAATGCTAATTTGACTTATTGAATGACATTCATTTCAGTTCCCTTTTGCTAGTGGCTCCTACAAAAGCTGTCAGTAAGAATTAGCTGTAATTTATTCTGGGTTCTGTAATGTTATAATAAAGTTGGTTGGGTTTTTTTTTTTTTTCCCTCTCCAGAAATGATATCCAGAAAACTGAAGGACATTAAAAAAAATTTTTGTTTTTCACCAAAATAAAAGTGATACCTTTCGTCTTATCTTGATTTATGCTCAGGATAAAGACTTTCTGCTCAGTTAGATTATATTCATCTCACTCCATGCTTGTTCCAGTCCTCAAAACTAAAATTAAGTGTGAAATTTTCTCTTTCAGCAAAGATGGAGTAACAAAGACCAGATTTACCCTCCTACCTGGAACAACTAAAATTTCAAATAGAGTATATGAAATAATGGCTTTCAGACCCTGGGCATCAGCAGGGCAGCACAGCAATCCCCGAGGGAGAGGAAACAAGGTAAGCCCTGCAATTATCCTAGCTCACTGCCTAGAAAGCTTGCAGGACCTGGACAGAGCCTGACTGTCTTCCTGAGTTGAGGAAATGGATCTGGGAGCCCAGGGAGGCTGAAGTGTGTAGTTTGTCAGGCAGAGTACTGGAGAGGAGAGAGCTGCACAGAAAGAGAAAAAGAGAGACAGTGAGAGAGAACTCTGAAGATCCGTAAAGGGTCCCCCTTGAGTCGTCAGCTACATCCTGACCAGTGCACACATGTGAAAAAACTACCCGAGGCTGAAGAAAAAACAACCCAAAAAGATTAGAGTGGTGATCACACAGTGCCTGCAATAGTTTGTGTTCCCACAAACTAGTTAGAGTGGACAATTCTTTTTTTTTTAAATTTAAATTCTTTAACTAACAGAATATTAAGTAGAATACTCAGAAGGCTATTACCTTAGTAGTGAAGAAACATTAGCTCTAGACAAAATGCAGCTCTGATCACCTGACAAGGCTTAAAAGCAAATCTCAAAAGGAAAAAACTACTCTAAATAATTTAACTATATCACAGAATACAGCTCAAAAAATATTTCTAGGGATACGAAAATATCCAGCACCCAAGAAAGTCAAATTCAAAATGTCAAGAATGTAATAAAAAATTACCAGGCATGCAAAGAAGCAGGAAATGGTGACCTATAATGAGAATAAAAATCAATCTATTGGAGGGGCACCTGGGTGGCTCAGTTGGTTAAGCATCCAACTCTCAATTTCGGCTCAGGTCATGATCTCAGGGTTATGAGATCAAGCCCCACGTTGGGCTCCGCACTGGACATGGAGCCTACTTAAGATCTCTCTCTTCCTCTCCCTCTGCCAATCCTCCCCCCACAAAAAAAAAAGAAAAAGAAAAAAAATCAATCAATTGGAAAAGACCCCAAAATGATACAGATAACAGAATTAGTAGAGAAGGACATTAGTACAGTTATTATAACTATATTCAATATGGTCAATAAGGTAAAGGAAATACTTAGTATGTCAAGAAGAGGCATAGAAAGAAATACTTGAAGAAACAATAGTTGATACTTTTCCAAATATAAAGAAAACTATGAGTCTACAGATCCAAGAAGCTCAACAAACCCAAGCCATAAGAAACATGATGAAGGGGCGCCTGGGTGGCTCAGTCGTTAAGCGTCTGCCTTCAGCTCAGGTCATGATCCCAGGGTCCTGGGATCGAGCCCCGCATTGGGCTCCCTGCTCCGCGGGAAGCCTGCTTCTCCCTCTCCCATTCCCCCTGCTTGTATTCCCTCTCTCGCTGTGTCTCTCTCTGTCAAATAAATAAATAAAACCTTAAAAAAAAAAAGAAGAAGAAACATGATGAAAACTACACCAAGGTGTTTCATCATCAAATTGCTTAATAATGGTAAAGAGAAAAATCTTAGAAGAAGCCAAAAAAAAAAAAAGAAAAAAAGGACATACTACATACAGAAGAAAAAAATTAGAATAATAGAGATTTCTTGTTGGAAACAATGAAAGCAAGAAGACTGTAGAGGAGCAACATCTTTAAAGCACTGAAGAAAAAAATCAAACCTTTGAATCTAGAATTCAA